GATATGGTATTTAAAACTCAGGCCACCACAGCAGGCTTCTTTGCTCGTGCTGGTGTTGAATGGAAGTAATTAGGCCTGCAAGATGACCACTTTCCAGCTAAGCTGCCTTCATGGATCCATTCCCATTAGATTTTCCCCCTAGTCCACTCAATGAATTTTTTCTTCACGCAATAGCTCACAACACAGGCATTGTGGTGTTCCAAAGTTGAAACTTCTCCAACTCCAGGAAGATACTGAGAGAGACGAGTTTCTTGCTGTTACCTCTGAGCCTTTGGTAAATAAGAGAGATACTCATATTCCTGTAAACCAACTTAACAATGGGAGAAATCTTTTATGATTTTTTTTCAAGAAAATCAGAATACTTTGGGGTAAAACAGAAATACCCCCTCCAAACTGAAATGATCTTCTCTCAGACTTTACTACTCTAGAAAAAGGTTTCGGGAATCAGTAAAGGGGTGAAAGTCAGAGAGGAAGCTTGGACATAGGTCAGAAGTAGCGAGCATGCTTTACACACATGATCTTCTTTACTTTTCACCTAATGATTTTCAAGTAGGTCTGCCTACCTCCCCCAGCCCACACTCGTTCTTCCACACACTGCTCTATTTTTCAAAGACATGTGGATTAATGAGACAATAATGTTGGTAAAGTGTTCTAATTTCCTCTGAGAAAAAAAGCTATAAAATTTTATTGTTATTGTTGCTCTTATTATTGAAGCTCAATGGATGCTTTAGTGCCACTGATGTAACTAATATTACTCCCATTTATTTCATTTAGGGAAATGAAGTCTAAAAATACAAAGGATCAGATTTATTGAGCTTTGGATTCAGCGACTCTGCACATGGGGATACCAACAAGGAGATATACAACTAGGACCTGGGGAGCAGTAGTGGGGGCCGGAACCCAGGCATTGCTCTTTGTAATGCTTGGGGACCTGAGGAATGAAGGAGGAGGGACCTAATACACTATTCTCTGGTTTCTCATTATTAAGCATAGATTGTAGCAATGATTACCCTGATTGTTTATTGGAAATAACTGTGGACTCAACACAGATTATTTGCTACCTGGAAGAACAGGCTTGAGGTGCGACGGCGGCGCGCTGGGCAGCGCAGCTGCAGCTCCCCTTTCCCCTTTCCAGGGCGAGAGGTGTCTATGGGGCGCCCGCTGCCGCCGTCGGTCCCGCCACCGCCGCCGTCGCCGCCGCCGGGTGCTATCTCTATGGCGAGGAGGAAGAGGAGGAGCGCGAGCTCAGAGACACAAGTGCACAAGTAAAGGGTAGAATATTTTTATGAAACACATCTTCAATCAAGTGTAACGTTTGATGCTTGGCATCTAGGCTCCTTGTGCTGTCACTATGCCAGCAGCAACTGTAGATCATAGCCAAAGAATTTGTGAAGTTTGGGCTTGTAACCTGGATGAAGAGATGAAGAAAATTCGTCAAGTTATCCGAAAATATAATTATGTTGCTATGGTATGGACACGACTAAACCTTTAAAATGCCTTTTTTGTGGTTAAAATGGGAATTTTGTGGGTGCCTGTGAGTGTGTATGAGTGTGACTTGTTCTTTTACTGCCCTGGTCTTGCTGATTAAGCGAGGTTGCCTGGCCAGGAAGCCCCAGGGATTCACCTGCCTCCTCTTTCCAAGCACTTAAATTACAAGCACATGGACTATGCACTTTTAAGGACATAGATTCTAGGGATTGAAATCCAGTCCTCTTGCTTGCATGCCCAGCACTTTACCAAGTGAGCTGTCTCTCCAGGCCCTGAAGTGGGATTTTTAAAAATCTTGAATTAAATGCTTTTCATTGATATCAAGGGATTAATTTAATCATTAAAAAAATGCCTAGTTTCTCCAGCAAAAGCCATCAGAAACAAACCTGTATTTGACAGGTTGAGTTTGTTACTGCTAGCATTAATCAACAAGGGATTAGGAGTCATGGGCATTGTAATAAAAGTGTTAGAAGTACTTTAGGATTTGGGCTATTGTCAGGTGGTTTTAAGGGCTTACCGGAGACAGGCTTTACCATGGATTGGATATTCTCGGGAAGCTAGTTTTCCTGAGGTTCTCAGCCGCTGAGAAGATAAGGGTGATTGATACAAGACTGCAGAAGGCATTAGCTAGATTGAGAAATTGCATTTTTTTTTTTTTGGTCTTTATTGGGACATAGTTACAGAATATACTTAACTGATGTTTACATTTTGTGAAACTGATTGCATTCAACAGGAGAAGTCTAAAGCCTAACTGAGAGTGTCAGCTAGTTCTAGCCAGTCCAAGGCCCTGCTACTATTATCAGATAAGGTTTCAGAAGCCAGTGAGTTCCTGGGTATCTTTTTTCAAACAAACAAAAACCCATTCAGATCTCTTAGGAAAGCATTGTTAAAGCAGCAAAAACATCCTAGGTTGTCAGAAAGCTCTCATCTTATAGGTGGTATTCAGTCTGCCTACACTGTACAGCTATTTTTCTGCTTTACTACTGCACTGTGTGCATTTGTCACAGCTCATTTTTTATTTTCTAGGTCCACTTGATTATTAGCTGTAGACAGCAGTTCTTTAGTGTCTTATACATCTATACACAACCCCCCTCAAGTATAATACAATCATTACAGAACCTAATGATTGGCTGTTGGTTGAACTAAATTCAATAAGTTATGATTTCTTTACTATTTCATACTGACTTACTATTTCATTTTTGTTTTTAACTAGCCTTAATTTGAATTCTCATGTTAAACTAAAACATAATTTTCTTAGTATCACAAATTTTAAAAAAAGTGCTTCTCTGAGAATAAACAGGATGCTTGCTTAAACGAGAAATATCTGTGAATAGACACTCCATGTAATACAGGTGTACTTATCCATAATTATAGCTGAAACTTTGTGTTTGGGTGGGGGTTCCTAGGCAGTAGAGATTCCTAGTTGTCATTTATTTCTCAGATGATAAGGAAGGGCTGCAGTACAGAAGCCTATAGAAGGGAGCGGGGTCTTAGCATGCTCTCTGTGAGTTTTCTTTTCCTAT